TGTGTGTGTGTGTGTGTGTGTGTGTGTGTGTGTGTGTGTGTGTGTGTGAGATATATCTTTTATGCATATATGCCAAAGTGGAATTGCTGAATCATGTGGTAGTTCCAAATTTAACTTTTTAAGTGTTTTCTTTAGCAGCTACACTGTTTTATATTCTCATTTACTGTGTACAAGTTTCTAATTTCTCTACAACCTCAATGACACTTATTATTTTATGGTGTTTTTGTGGGGGGTTGGGAGTAGTTAGAAGCCATCCTAATGAATGGGATTACCTTTAATGTAATTATTTAACTCTACCATTTTATTATCTATTCATCTCCTCTTTTTAAAATTATGATAATGATGGGTGGGGGTCGGGTAGAGGAAGAGGAGCTGGGGTTAGAACCCAGGGCTTCAGGCATGCTAGGCAAGTACTTTACCATTGAACTAAACCCCAAGCCCCTCTTCTGTTTTTTCTTTCGGATTAAATAGTTTAGTATTTCATTTTAATTTACCTCTTGACTTTTGACTGTATCTCTGTGCACTGCTTGTAGGGTTTTCTCTGGTACTTACACATACTTTTCACAATCTACTGAAAATTAATATTTTTCCACCTTGTGTAAAATATATGTTTTCTAGCCCTATATCATAGTTGCCATATGAGTTATGTTTATATACATTGAAAGTCCCATAAAATAATGTTATTATTTTTTCTTTCAACAATCACAAATATTTTTAAAAACTTAAAGGGTAAACAATAATTTATTATATTACCCAGACATTTATTGTTTCTGTTGCTCTTCCTTCATTACTGAAGTTCTAGGTTTCATTTTTTTCCATCTGAAGAATTTCCTTTGGCATTTCTTTGAAGAAGATCTAGTAATGACAAATTCTTATTTTTCCTTCATCAGTATCTTTATTGTACCTTTATTTTGGAAGGATATGTTTACTAGACATAGAATCTGGGTTGACAGTTCTTTTCTTTTAGCACTTTAAAATGTTATTTTATGGCCTCCTAGCCTCTATAGTTTCTGATGAGAGATTCATAATGTCAATCAATTTGAGCTCAAAGACTGTAAAATAACTTTACTTGGAGTCTTGAAAATTGCAGTTCAGGAGGCACAGACTCATGGTTCTGAATGAATGTTCCAAAGAGAGCCCTTTTTTGCAGGCCTTTTAAAAGGAAGAAGTATAAGATAAAGAAAATTCCAGGCAGCTTGTACAAGCTGTTTAAAAGGAAGGTGATTGAAGCAGAAGTTAACCTAATTCCAGGCTATACATCACTAGACATATATGATGGCTTGCCAAACCTATCTCTAGGTGACAATTACAACTGTAACATTCATTAAAGGAGGATGGTGGTTTTTGCAGACTTGGTCCAGTTCAGAAGTTCACATTCCTGAGTTCAGTTTAAGAGTCCATATTTCTGGGCAGCAGCTTGAGACATGCGTAAGTCCTGGTCCCTCAATAGCATAGTCTTTGTTACTTTTTGAAATGATTTTCTTCTTGATAGTTTCACAGGAGTCATTTGAATTATGTAATGTGTTGATTTTCTCTGGCTGCTTTAAGACAGTATTTTTTTTTTTCCTTTTCAGCAAAAAAATCAGTCTTGGGTTTCTTTGAGATTATTCCTTATAGGATTTACTGATCCTTGTATCTGCAAATTTGTGAATTCTACCGAGATAGGGAATTTTCAGTCATAATTTCTTCAAATTCTCTATTTGCATCAATTCCTTTCTCCTCTTCTGTTGGGATTTCAGTTAAATGAATGTTAGACCGACCTCTCTCTCTCTCTCTCTCTCTCTCTCTCTCTCTCTCTCTCTCTTTTGGTAGTTGTAAACAGACAGAATGTCTTTATTTGTTTATTTATTATTTTTTTAATGTGGTGCTGAGGATTGAACTCAGTGCCTCACACATGCTAGGCAAGAGCTCTGCCCCTGAGCCACAACCCTAACCCAAATGTTAGACCTTTCAATATTGTCCTGCAAATCTCTGACATTTTAAAAATTTTTTTCTTCAACCAAGACTGGAAATGTCTTCATTGTTTGCTACTTTAAAAACTTCCTGCTTTTTTCCCTCTTTTGTTTATCATAAATTATTTTTATTTTTATCAAAATTTGATTATTTCAGCATCTGATCAATTTCATGGTTTGTGTTTATGGATTGCTTTTTCTTTTTTTAAAAATATTTATTTTTTAGGTGTAGATGGACACAACACAATGCCTTTATTTTTATGTGGTGCTGAGGATCGAATCCGAGTCCCACCCGTGCTAGGCGAGTGCTCTCTACCGCTGAGCCACAATCCCAGCCCAGATTGTTTTTTCTCTTGAGAATTTAATGTATTCCTGCTTCTTTGTAATTTTGTTCAAGTAATTTTGGATGAGGCTCTGGGCATTTTTAACATTTATGAGATTTTGGGCTTAGTTACAGTCTTGGGGAGAATGCTGATCTTTTTTGTTTTAGCAGACAATCAAAATGGGTAGGTTCAGACCAAAAGCCCTGGCCTACTTTCTGTTGGCTCAAAGTTGTAGTGCCTTTCTGTTGTATCCCTGTGGTAGTCTGAATAATTAGATGACTCCCCAATTAGATGTCCATGACCTATTTCCCAGAACCTGGGAGTATGTTACCTTACATGGTAAAAGGAACATTGTAGACCTAATTAATGTAAAGACACCTAGAACCATAAGATAATAAATATACTGTTGTAAGCCACTAAGTTTGTGCTAACTATTTACAGCACTCGGAGGAAATTAATACAGGTGGTCCCCTTGTGTACCATGAGGGGCCAATCAAAGGACCTGGGGATGGTCCACATCACAGTTCAGATTCAAAGCCTTTGCCCTTTTGGTCCTGGTCAGTTCTTCACAAGTGCAGCTCAGGATTTCATAGAGTAATTTAAAGGACCTCTTTTTCCAGCCTCCTGCTCTCTGGGATCCCTTCCCTGCTCTCAAGCTCCTTGAGCTTCTTTCCTGGTGGTCAGACTGGAAAGAGCCAAAAACTTTCAGGGATACTTTTGATCCTTGCCACTGCTGCCCTGACGAGACACAGTCATTCCTGGGGTTTTTCTTCTGGCGTTCTGGCTGGCTTGAGAGTAAGCTGGGAGGTGCACGGGCTAAAGGGGCCAATGCAGGAAAGTCCCCTCCATGTGCGTCATCCTACCCAATGTAGAGGCTTTTCAATTGATCAGTATGGCTTCCCTCCAGAGTTTTTAGCTGTAATCAGTGGTAAAGATGAACTAGAGTGTGCTTACTCCACTTCAACCAGGACCGGAAATGTCTTCATTCTTTGTTACTTTAAAAACTTCCTGCTTTTTTCCCTCTTTTGTTTATCATAAATTATTAACTTTTTTTTTTAACTGAACTGTATGTTATTTCTAGTTTATATTTCTTAAATAATTCCTAATTTATTTTACTACTTTGTGAGGTTTTCTAATCCTTATAGTTATATTGTTCTGTACTGTGGCTATGCTGTTCTGGATTATATTAGTCTTTTATTTCTCATTATAATAAGTCCTTTTTTGTGTTGAGATATTATAGTTTTTTATGTATTTTGTAGGCACGTATTTCTGGAGTGCCTTTATTATTCATATGAATAACCTTCTTTTAAAGTTTTTTTCTTGAAATACATTTATATGGCATTTTCCTTCAATGCTTTAGTTGCTCGTTTTTATATGAAATATCTTGAACTTTTAGAAGGAAGTCTGGTTTTATGGCTCAAGGGCTCTCTCTTCTGTTGCTTGTGGGAAGTGTCTTAAGTGTCTTAATGTGTGGCTGCTCACTTCTGCAATCTCCTGCCTTTCTTCCCTCCCCTACTTTTGTCTGGACCTCATTTTCCTTTGTCACTTTCATTCCTGTGTTACTCAGTTTAGATTCTCCACCATGTAATTTTCTTAGTCTGGAGTTGTATCCTGGATAGGGCCTTGGCCTGATTAGTTCTGAAGAGCGGGCAGGCTCAGTATCTACAATGTAACCCTTGCCTTCATTCCCCTGCAGACGGGCTGTGTAGAGCCCCTGAGCATTCCTGTGAGTACCTGGGGGTCTCAGCCCCATTCTGTTCACTTTCCTCTGCTTCCTTCCTCACACAGGTAATAACTTTGTACTAAATATGTTACTGAAATAAAGGTTATTTGGGGTGGGGAATCTCAAATTATGTCACATACTTAAAGGAAGCATCAGTTAAACTGTCAGCTCTGTAGTTTATCATACTTTAAATTTTAACAGATTATATATAAAATGGAGCAAAGAAAGGAATAACTGCCCATACTGTAAAAAATCAGTTTCAGATCTTTGGAATGTTTCTTTACATTTATTTTCACATTGTTTGAACTTAAATATTTCATCTACAGAAACAAAAAAGGAAAAGATCATCAAAAAGCCTTTTCCACCCACATTATCAAGATTTTATGGCTAGAATTGGATGAAACTTTGTCTGTTAACACAGTGTTAAACTAAACACAAGTATTAATTAGAATGTTTTTATGTTTTTAATGTGATACTTTAATGAAATATTAAAATTAATGTGAAAAACTTGAAGTTTTAAATATAGGTAGGACAAGTGATTATTATTTCTTAAAGCCATCTTAAGAAGATTATCCTGCCATTCAAAATCAATATAGTACAAAATGTCTAAGAGTCTTTCCTAGAAACTGTTAGGTCACACTTTTCCAACTATTATTGCATATGTGGGTTGAGTGTTTTAGCTAATATGTAGAATAGTTCCTATGTGTTCATTTCATTTTTTGTCCAATTTTTAAAAATTATTATAATGTGAGTAAGACTAAAATTTTGGGGGATTCAATTCCTGAGTAACATTTATGCTGTATTCAGAAAAATATTTTGTTAACTTCATAGAATACTGATTTTGCTGGGCACAGTGGTGTATGCTGTAATTTCAATAACTTGGGGGCTGAGTAAGGAGGATCCCAAGTTCAAAGCCAGCCTCAGCTACTTAGTGAGGTCCTAAGCAACTTAGTGAGACCTTGTCTCAGAAAATGAAAAGAGTGGCCTGGCACAGTGGCTCACGCATGCCTTTAATCCCAGTGGCTCAGGAGGTAAAGGCAGGGGGGATCGTAAGTTCAAAGCCAGCCTCAGCAAAAAGTGAGGTCTAAGCAACTTGGTGAGAATCCTATCTGATTATTTGAGCTTGTATCATAATTTAGAAGAGAAGAAAGATGGGGAGGGTTGTAGCTAAATAAGTTGGAAAAACTGCTACATTCACTTTACTAAAATGAATGTCATTCCATTTTTTACTATAGAGTTTATAGCAAGGAAAACCTTGTATATGACTATTCATAGCAGCATTATTCATTTTATCCAAATGTCTAATAACTGGTGAACATGTGAAAATCAGTTTTCATATTGTATCCATTTTATATATCTGTAATTAAACATTATTTGATCATAAAAAGAAATACTGATACATGTTACAACATGGTTGAATCTTGAGAGTACTATACTAAGTGAAAGAAACCAGGAACAAGATCACATATTCTCTTGATTCCATTTATATGAAATGTCCATTGCAGGCATATCTGTAGAGACAGAAAGGAGATTAGTTGTTGCGGGGGGCCAGGGTAGGGAGATGGGCAGTGACTGCTAATGGGTGCAGGTTTCTTTTTGGGGTGATGGAATGTGGTGCAGTGGTGGTGTTTTGTTAAAGGGCTATGAGTTCAACTGTGAATATGCTAAAACCACTAAATTGGTCTTGAATTTGCTATGTGATTTATATGTCAACAAGCTGTTACTAAAAACAAAAGGAGGGTTATAACATCAATTAAGGCAAGAAGAGATCAGGGCTTAAAATGAGACAGTTATGATAGAAAGGGACTGGGGAATGTAGGAGGTGAGCTGAAGAGCTTCAATGGCTAATTTTTTTTACTGACAGGGATACAAAATCCCCAGGGCTGAAATCCTCAGGAGACAGTACTAATGGCTGCTCCAGTACACAGCTTGAATTTGAGCAATTGCTAGCTTCACCAAGAACAGACTGTACACATAATAAATGAAGGCCCTTTAACAAAAACTGTCATCTGTAGACAACAGGGATGGCTAAAGCAATGCGCAAAATTGTGGCCTTGCTTATACTTTTTCATGACTCAAAATATTTTTTTATGATTGCCAGTAGGGTTGGCTAATGTGACTGCTGCTATGCACCAGTGCAAAGTGCCTATGGTAGGATACAGGACATGTCCTTGTCTGCAAAAACTCAACCCTACTGTGTGCATTCAAATAGTTACTTCTAAAGAGTACTATTTCTAAAGGAGGTGAATGCCTATTCATCCACAGAGGCCTCTGTTTTCCTACTGCACCTTTCTGAAGTAGCTTGGGAAGGAGGACGGAGCTTTGGTCTTGGAGTCATAGGAGCTAAGCAACTGCAGGGAGCCTTGGGGGCCATGTGGTTGTCACAGGCTCTCTGGAGTCTCACTATGCCCGATTGGAACACTGATGTACCGTAGACCACCTCGGCCTGATGTCATGGAGTCCTGTGAGCTCAGCTGTAGAATGAGGAGGGCCACTCCTGAAGGATATTTTTTCTTTTCTTTTCTTTTTTTTTCCTGCAGGATCATTTAGCATTAAATTTCATGGTGTTTATGTAGAGAACATGGAGCATACCTATTGGTTACAGGACAAGTCACTTAACTTTGCTTCCATTGTTTCCTCAGATCGATTGACCAGTTGTTCCCTTCACTTCTTAAAGACTGAAGACCAGGCCCTGTGCCTTTTAAGGTAGTTGAGGATAAAAAGTTATTAAGATTTGGTTAGAGAAGACATTCACAAGGGTCTTGGTAGCTCATTCCAGAGTTTTAGCACTAAAATACATGGCAACCTATTGTAATTCTCTTGGTTACTTTACTTTGAACCCTTTCTAATTCTTCCATTTTTTGTGATGATCTTCACAAAAGAAAATTTCTGGTTGAAAAATAGGGGAGAGATTACTTTTTGTTCCTTATTTTTTAAAAATATATGTATATATTTATGCAGGAGCTGGGGATGTGGTCTATGTTAGGACACTTGCCTAGTATGCGTGAAGTCCTGGGTATTAGTATTATAATTGTTTGCATTGTTTCCCCATAGTTTGTATTATGTTCTTATGATTGCCCAGAAATGGATTCACTGGCTCGGGATGAACATCCCTCAGACTCCTGATAACCCGGTGCCTGCCATCTTGCTGTTTTCGGACCTTGCAGATCTCACTGCTCCTCATCAGCACTTGGAATACCCCCTTTTAGGCTGAGAGAGTTAATTTAGTAGGTACAAGATATTATCTAATTATTTTGATTTTTATTATTTGGTAACTACAAATGTTGAACTTTTTGTTATGTATTTATTGGCCACATTTTCTCCTATGTAGATCTAGTACCTGTTTTTTGCTGGAATTATTTAACATTTTCTTATTGCATTTTGGGCTTTTTAATAAAGATTAATTCTGTATCATATGGTCTGCAAATATTTTTCCTGACTTCTTGTTTTGGCTATGTGTTTAAAAAAAATTAATGAAAACACACACACACACACACACACACACACACACACACACACACACACACACTGTAAACTGTCTTCTGTTTGTGGCTGTTACAAAGGACTTTCTCAGCATTGTTGCCAGATCTCATGGTTATGCCTGGACACTCTTCATGGTATGTGGGCTAATATGGTGCACACACATCTTCTGTGATGAAATGTAATATGTTTACTAACCAGAGTTAAGTCTAAAGTATGCAGATTCTTCATAGGCTCAGAGAACATTTCCCTTCCTTTAGAGAAATGGGGTAGACAAGAAGGAACTAACAAAATAATTGCTTGATTCCCCCCACCCCCGGGTTATAATTTTAGCTCTGAATGATGGGCATCTTCTAGACAGTCTCCATCCTTTCCTCTAGGACTGCTGCTCCTGAGGATTTCATTGCAATTATGTATTGAGAAATGTGTGGCCCACTCATCATGAGGCCCCAGTCAAGTTCTCAAGAGAACCCCCGCTCTCACCTACCTGACCCACCTTCTTTAAGCTTTTTCTTTCAAGGAGGCACTGGATCTTGGTACAATTTCAAGATTCAGGATGTGAGACTCTTTGCATGGATGGCAATACTAGGAAACCTCCCTTGGTGAAGCAGTCTATTAAATCTGAACTCCTTTCCTGCAGTGAGCAATCCCATCTGGCAGTCTACCTTCTCTTCCTGGGAAGTCTCGCATGGCTGTCCATGGCATAGTAAATAGGTATGTGCAGAAGGTTCGAGGATGTATCCAGCCAATGGAGGAAGGCAGGGAGGCTACCCTGACTGGGTTTTAGGGTGAGAAACGAACGTTTTTCATGAAAACATGTGTTCTTAGGCTGATGGTTGGAGTTGTCATGTGGCTCTGGCACAGTTTTTAAAAAAAAAAAAAAGCCCCAGGCACAGGAGTGATACAGTGGGAAGCTGGCTTTGAGGCTTTTAGATGCACCAGTGTAATAAGAAGATAACTTACACTAAAGGAGTGGCCTCACAGTCTGTTCAGAGTGTGTGCATACCCTTTCCACTTTGACCTCCAGTTGTCCTTTACTGTTGGCTTCCTAGCTCCCTACATGGCCTTGCTAAGGAGCCCCATCTTTCTAATCATCAAAATCTGCATGAAAGTCTTAAGAGAACCCAGACTGCTGACATCTGAAATGAAGATCAGGCCTAGGCAGAGGTTTCATGTCACTGTGGCAAAGATAATGGCACACAAAGACATTACGTTGGCTTCCAAGTCTAGATCTATAAATATATTTATTATAATATAACAAGAACTTAACAATAAACATATACTATGTACAATACCATTACAGAGAACCCTGTTTTATATCATTCACAGAAATAGCCAGTTTTGCTCCAGTGTGATAGATGAGGAGAGAAACGGAATTTCAGTGTCATCTGTGTGGAGTCTGTTGACCGCTAGCACCTCCCTTGGAGGCAGACGCACACCAATGCTAACATTAGCCCTGCCCCAGGCAGTTAGGAATTTGTGCTCCAGTCCTTGGGTTCACACTTGCACCCTGTTTGACATAAATACTTTAAATGACATACAATGTATGTAGTTTTGTGCTTATTACTTTTTAAAATAATAAATAATATTAAAAACTGCATAACGAAGCTCGGTATCTTGTCCAAGTGGGAGCCACGCTTGTAGTGCTGGAAGTTGATGCCCGACATTGGAACTGGAATTTTGTGTCATCACATACGGAAGATGGAAAGCATGTCTTCTTTCTCCTTATAAAAGTTCTTATGATGACGTGATGGCAAGCTGACCTCCCAGATAGAAAAATGGTAAATGTGTATTTGGTACCAACTTCAACTAAACAGCGCGGTGGCGGCGGCGGCCTTCTTCCTGCCCTGGAATGGAAACTGATGACCGGGAGAGGTTTGAGGGTCTAAGGACTAGCTGGAAGGCCTTCTTTTGAGCCTCGGAGTGACTCCCCCACCATCTGGCTTCCCTTTTCTCGGGTTAATACGTGACAAGAAGAGTGATTCTGCTCATGCCCCTCGGGCCTCGGCTGTCATGGCTCGTCTTAAGAAGGCTGTCCCCATCCTGAGAGCTCTTGTGGCAGGTGCCTTAATATATAGCTATAATATCAAAAATAGTCTCCTGTGCTTTGTAGACATTTGTTCTCCCTCCCTCCCTCCATCCCTTCCCCCAGCCTGGGTCCCCAGCTTTACCTCATGGAGGGAGCTGGACTGGTGTCAGGAACCACATCCTTCTGGAACTGACCCTTCTTCCTCAGTCAGTGCCTCGATGAGGCACAGTCTTTACGGGGCTGTCTGGGAGTTACTTTTTCCAAAAATAAAGTGGGGGCATGGCCCACCCCAGGAGAGATCCTCTATTCTGCACATAGAAAAATGAGAGCAAATGCCCCCCTCTGGCACTACCCACAAAGAGCTTTGGGAATTCCCACATCCTCCCTCTTGTGGCCTCCTCTTTCTCTCAGTACTTAAAAATAGCCTTTTGTTTATCAAGAAAATGCCTTGGAAATCTAAATAATTCATATTGTTTAGGAGAAAGCTAGCACAGCCACCTTGTCCTCCTCCAGCAAAAACATGGTAGAAAAACCCATGAAGGACAGACGGCTCTCCCCAGCAGTCCCTGTGGCTGCCACCCCTGGCTCTGCACAGGCAGCTGGACTTCTCTTCGGTCCCAGTGGGGACCAGCAGCCTCCTAGGCCTCATGCTGCACAGTCCTGTCCCTCATTTTCTCTCGGCCACTGAAAGTGTAGATTGGTTAAAAAACAAAAGTAGGAATCAAAGTGATAAGGACACTTTGATCTTATTCCAAAAGAGCCTGATGCCTAATATTGTCATAGGATAACTGATCTAGGGTGGTTTAGGGATCAAGCTTGCTCTGTGGGAAGGAAAAAAACAGCTTCTCCCTCCCAGTTGAAAAATATGTGAAACTATTGCACCGGGCAGAGCGAGCGCCCCCATTCAGAGCAAGCGCCTCCCCAGGAACCAGCAAGCCCTGGCTTTTTCCAGGTTCCTGCAGCCTGGAGCGCTGTGCCCCATTCACCCAATAGGCGAGGATGATTTTCTACATTCAATGTAGAGAATATTCAAAAATGTTTAGCGCAGTGAGTTCCTTGATTTTGTTTTGTTGGCCTCTTATTGATGTTGCTGAAAAATTATCATTGGGTATATCATTTGCCTCACCAGAGTTGTCCACAGTTTTGTCACGGGCGCTCAGCTGATGTCAGCCGCTTTGAATATATTTCTTTATCACGACACAGCCATGTCTGAACACAGGGCAGGGCATGTGGGGTAGGAGGGTCCAGGTGTTGGTTGCAGGCTCATAGGCTTCCATGTTGCCCAGGGCGGGCCCCTCACTGCTCACGATGCCTCCAGTAGCATAAATCTTGCCATCAAGCACCACGGCGCTGTCAGAGGGGAGCCGGTAAAGAATTAGGCCTCTAAGCTTCCAACTTGGACCTGGAGATAAGACTCCAGACACTGAGTCTGTTGCAGGCTGCCTGCACCCTCTGGCAAAGTTTGTCTCTGCCCTCTGACCTGGGCTGGCACAAGACGCCTCGCCTTCAGGGACAACCAGGACATCCTGCTACACCTCCCTCCAAGCATGGAGGTGTTCATGTTCACTAGCCTCCTTCCCAGCACTGCCAGTTGACTAATGAGCCTGGGAGAGGAGCTGTCTCTTTATAGGTGCTCCGCTCAGGTCGCTGAGCCTTTATTGAGCATCTTCTTGTGTTGTGCACACAGAATCTTCCTGCTGCTTGGGTCAGGTTAGAGTTAAGGGCCTGATCTAATTTAACACTAGGCACGTAACTGGGAATCCTGCCTCTTGTCTTTGAACCTCCAGAGAGGCACAGGGATCATGTATGTGACTACAGCATCCTCCCAAGAAGCCACTTATCCCTGCAAAGCTCTGGCAGGCAGTTTTAGGGGATGGGGGACCTCACCTTTCACCAGGAAAAAGATGGCCTCCATGCCTCTAGGAGACATTTCATTTCTAATTTCAGCTGGAGCTTCAGGCTGGGGCTTCTGAGCCAGGGGCTGCTATGGCTGCTCTTGGATGCTCCACACCCTACTCCAGACCTGACATCTGTCTCTCTGCTCTGGGTAGGAGATTCCTTTGGCATTGGAATGGTGATAAATCTTGTGGTCACACCTCTCCTCTCATCCCCCATCTCTCTCCTCCTCCCTCACAACACCCATTGAGCCTCTTACCTGCAGAACTGGCGAGAGTGATTCATGTTTGGGCCTGCCTTGATGTTCCCTTTGTCTGGGTCGTAGATGGTGGTGGCTCTGGCATAAGCCCCACCCAGGATGAACACCAAGCCATTGAGGGTGACAGCAGGTGCATACTTGTTGTCTGTGAAGGCAGTAGGTCAGGCAGGTCATTTCATCCAACCCTTCCTCCCCTTTTTTTCCCAGCAGATGCCCCCTGTCCCCCGGGGAAGGAGCTACAAAGACTTCCTGAGGACAGGCCTGAGCCAGGCACACCTGGAACCATGACCAGTTTGCCCTTCTCCAGGTGCTGGGACCCCTGGCTGCACCTGGGCTTGGGGAGAACCCACCCCTGCCCCCCTCAGACTTGAATCTGCACAACTATTGGGCTCAGCCTGACTCTAGGCCTGTACATTAAGCCAGTGAGTGAGGTGGAGGCCCCACACTGGCCTGGGTTGAGGAGACTGCTGGTCCGCACCTATCATCGGGGATTCGATGAAGCTCCATGTGTTGCTCTGTGGAACGTAGGACTGGAGGACACCCGCTGCCCGACCTGCCTCGTTCACCCCGCCGAACACGTAGATCTTGCCTCCGCACACGGTGGCCGCTGCCGAATGTACTGCCTTGGGCAGAGGGGCCACTGCCTCCCACTGGTTGGTGATGGTGTCATACCTGTAGTGAGAAGAAGGGAGAAGGGGCTTGTGCAAGGTGGGGGTCATAGCCACCTGCTTCCTGCCTGCAGCATCACCAGTGTAACCTGAGCCTGTGACAGGGCTCTGGGGTGAGTCCCTTGAGACCTCCCAGGGTCACTCCAAACTGGCACTCTTGGCCTCCTCTGGAGCCTCAGTGGACCTCTTCTCTGCCTGCCCAACCTCTCTGCAGACTCCTAACTCTGCTCACTCGGGGCTACTGGCTGTGGCCCGCCAGCCTGCGCTATCCAGCTTCGTCCTGCCTTTCCCTGTGGCAGTCCTGCCCTGAGCATCTGCTGTGTCAGCAGGACGGCAAGTGGCATGAAGTGAGGGGCCACAGCGCATGCAGCAGGGACACCCAGCCGGTGTTCAGGTGGAGTTGGGCCTCCTGCAATTGTGATTCTGGGGTGTGCCTGGAAGGGGGATTGAGCTCCAACTGGGGGGAAGGAGCAGCTGTGGATGGGCTCAAGAAACAGTGCAGGCGAAGGGAAAGGAGTGGACACAGGCATTTGGGAGCATTGTGAGGTAGTGGCTGGAGTTTGGGGTAGATTAAAAGGCCATTTGTGCCAGACTCAGGGATTGTTTGGGCTTTGTCTGGAGGGTAGTGGGAGGCCCTGATGTTTAAGCAAGGAAATAACACGATCAAACCTAGACTTAGGAGAGATCGCTGTGTCTGCAGGGTGGAGAGTGAACCTCAGTGAGGAGGCTGGGAGGAGGAAGACTGGTTAGACGGATGTGTTACAGGAAGCTTGGTGAGAAGTGACAGTGGCCTGGGTCAAGAGCTAACAAGAGCTTAAGGAAGCGCGAGCAGGAGAGGTGGAGAGAGGGTAGGATCACTGTCAGGATGCCAGGGCTCAGGACGACACAGGGTCTGTGCCTCGGAAAACTGGACAGAGGTGGCACTACTGGCAGGACAGGACTGAGGTTGGGGAAGGAAGTGATTTCAGTTTTAATTGAAAAGAATTTAAAGTATTTGTGGGCCATAGGTTAGGATGTCACGTGGGCAGTTGGGTATATGGGTC